GCAAGGCGATTCTCTTGGAATGGTAAGAAGTACAAGCTAAGTTGATCTCCGCTCTTCGTTACTGGCACAAGATTTCCAGCAAACTCCAAGAATTGGTGTTTTCCTTTCAGGACCTGAGAAGTAAATCAATTTCATTTTTGCAGGGTCTCCTCTAGGTGTTCAGGGGAGAATATACCTCAACGTCTCTGGATTTGGCAATCATTTTGAAGTGTTCTTGCTTTTCCAAGGTCTTATCTTCCTTATCGTCTGTCATGCAGAACACTCTGAAATACAAATCCATGTTCAGGAATTTCAGTGCTCAGGGGATGTCATACTTGAAAAAAGTGAAAATATGTTGAGTGAAAAGCTGTACCTTATCTCGTAGTTTGCTTAAGACATCTACCTACTCTACTTTAAAATTCACCATACTACTTTTTCAAGAGACCCTACCTCAACTGTCCCTCAACCGGGAACGTCCTCCTAGCAAACACAGCAAATTTGGCCATGTAAGGGATAGCGATTGCTTCATTGTAGACTTCTTGGGCCATTCTTGCCGCATCTCGTGGAGTTTGACAGTCCATTAGCCAAAAACGAGCAGAAACCGTGGTGGTGAAGGACACCTAAACACAATAGGGGTGTATCATAGCCCGGACGGTGCTGGGTAATTCTCTGGAAATCTTTCCCACATCATCTCCAGTAAAGGTGAGTTGAGTTGTTCCGGTGATATCTTCCCATTGAGCTGGAGCGGATCCCCCAGTTATGGAGCACAGTAATCGTAGGGTTGGTGGTTCTTGTCCAGGTTGTCCCGAATACTGGGTAAGCATCCCCTGAAGAAGAGAGATTTAAGCTCTCGGACACCTATCTTACGACTAGGAATTTCTTCCAAGATTTGATCTTACTTTGTTGCTGCTTTGTGGTAATGGGATACATAGAGTGATCGGTTTGTGGAATTTTCTTCGCCTCGGTTCGACAGTCACAATCGGTGACACCGCTACTCGGTTGCCATGCAGTCTAGTGACCATCTCTTGGGGTACCGGTTGCGCTTGTACCGACACTTTGATCGTCTTCGTGAGAGATCCGTCGGGGAAGATGGCTTGTACACGTGGTACCACCGATGACATGATCACACCACCTTCAGGGCCAACACAGTGCACCTAAATGGACACTTTCGAGCTCAAACATCGCAAATTAGGGACAGAAATAGTGCTACCTCCTGGCGAACTCTCGTCACAACAGCAAAATACATAGGGAAGTCATTAGTGAGTATCCGGGTAATTCTAGGCGTATGGAGATCATCGAGTTGGGCCAATTCTTCAGCGTCAAATGACTCATTTAGTACCTGAAATCATTGCTTTTACCCCTAATCAACAAAATTCTGTAAATTCCTATTTCTACCTCCTGCACGGCGTCTTCGGTCGCTTCGAGTTGGTGTTCTTTCCAGTGTTGGCCGTCATCCGAGCGCAGGATGACTATTTCACGTTCGCGATCTCGTAGAGAAGCGAAATGGGGCACTTCTAGGATGACTGGACCGAGGAACTTCGCGCCAGCGGGAGCCATTTCCAGGATTCGTGACGCTAATTCTTCACCTTCGCTAAGCGGCGGTGGATGGGCTAACTTATCCTGCAGAAAGGGATATATACAAACTAA